CGCATGTCCGGCGTTTAAAGAGAACAATGAGAGCGTTAAGTCAGGTCAGGTATGTAAATGCGTGGAAATTGTTCGCAGTCGCGGAGAAGAGCGTATTGTATCGTCGGATTTAGTCGCCGCGGTTATATCGCGAGGTACAATGGCTCCACCGAGGAATCGCGGAAGAATAGGTCTACAGATTTATACGTCGCGAGAGCCGTGTATATATATTATTATAGAGGCTACGTATGTGTGTGTGTGTGTATAAGCTCGCGTGCGATTAATAAGTAACCTATTTGCGCAAAAGTTTGGCGTCAATTCGCCGATAATTAATCGTAATTGTGATGGTAAGATAGGCTGAATGCGGAGTCCGATAATTACCGTGATACGAATTTACGCCCGGTAATTCCCGGTAACCATTACTAGTATAGTGGTAAAGTATATTCAGCAAACAAAAAGCACAGGCTTGTCAGATCAAAAGCTGCGAATGGCCCGGATGCCGATCGATCTTCGCGAGATAACCGCATAACTCTGCGCGCTGCGAATTTCGCGATTTTAAAAATAACCATCAACCGAATGATACGCATGGGATAAATTTCCACTCGAATTCCCTGCACGTGATACTTTATACGAGCTACCACCCCGGCACTGGTCAAGGATTAATTATTTTACTGGACTGCACGCTGTATCCTGCACGCGGTTTCTCCCCCTCCCTCTCTACTCCGTGAATGAGGCAGAGAGGGTGAGTGAAAGCGATGACGTTGATTCTTTCGAGAAGTCATCCTCTTAAGGCTTATCTACGATATTTAACGAGTAAGAGGGTCGATACACTCTGGCGCTAATAAAATCCTCCGAGTATCATCACGGATTATCCACGATGCCCCCGAAGAATGACTGGAGAAAGATTATTTCGTGAATTACGTTAGCAATGTTACTTCCATCTAAAAAGAGCTGAAAAGAGACAGAACAAAACTTGTTCAATGTTTAATCCATTAAACAAATCTTACAGTTGTCGTAATGTTTCTAAACCAAAAGATTTTAATGAAAAACTACTATGGTAGTAAGGACTAATATATACATACATTTCAGAATTATCGATTATTTTGTTTTGAGCGGTGTGAAGTTCATAATTTATAGTAATATTCGGAATACATATATTTAAATCGCTTTTTATTATTTACGCTATCTCTATTAGATCAACTAATGCACAAAAATAGCATTGATAAGAAAATGAAAATATCATATTTTCACATTTATAATATTATATATTTCTATCTCGTTAACGTTTGTTATTTAGATGGTAAAATGAATATATAAGTCAAATTTATGCATAGCCTTCTTGGTGCGCCACTGAAAATACGATACTAATTGGTAGTACATCTTTACTAAGCACGGTAGCAAACGTGGTAAGTTGCTGCTAAGTAAGGAAATTGGGACGATTCGATCGACCTGTATACGTTACACCGTGTATGCAGGAACTTCACAGTCCAACAGGTAGAGACAACTGCTATAATCGGCTAACATGCTTGACCAGCGAGAGGATCGAAAGCGTGTCGATAGCGGAACCGACCGAGAATCGATTGCGTTGCCAGCAGCAAATAAAATAAATCGACGATTTAAGCACGACGTGACGACACGCGCTATGAAGGACATTAAACACAATGGCAGGGCGTTACAGGTGACACGGGATGCAAACAGTAGGCACGCGCAAAGTGGGACCCGGCGATGTTATGGTCGACGTTTTTCACGGCGGTTTTGAGTATTTTTTACTGCATTTTTTGTTCCAGTTATGAAAACCCGGCCGATCGGCATGCTTGCAGCATTTCGCTGGCCCGGCGCTGTTCATAAAATGCAATATCCAGCTTTACGAGGCGGCCAGTGCGAACGGCCGCGCACCTAAATAATGATACAACTCGTTCAGCCGGTTGATCATGGCACGATGGGGAAATCCATAAACGTTGCTTCGCTTCGCTGGATTACCGGCGGCGGCGCTTAAATATCCCATCGGATCGTTAATTAAATGACACGCGCCGATCACAGGGTCATGGATCACCAATCGATAAATTCTACTCGGACGCGCGGCGATCGCCGGCGCGCTAATTAATGCGATGCCGAGCTATTCGCGCCGAGAGGCGGGCGGGCGAGCGTGCGTTCCGTTTCGCGACAGATTCGAACGATAGAGCACGCGATTTATGCGAGTGTAAATATCGGGAATACAATGGGGCCAATATTTGTCCAAGTTGCGATATGAAACGCGCGCGGTAATGTCGATATGTCAGGATTTCGCGCGGAAGGCGCGCGTTGAAGGGCCAGTCGAAACGATGAACATTTTTCAGAGAGCTCGCGCATCCGCCGGAATCATCGACCTTCCTTCCGTTAATATTTTATGTCTTGAGGAACTCTCAACTTTGGCACAATCGTCAAAGTCAATTTCTTCGAGCGTACTTTTATTCGAAGTATATCACTCTCATTAACAATGACGAGCTTAATTGTCTTTTTCAGTAATAGAAAATATAAAGAACAAGTTAGGTTTATCGTTGCATAACAATCCGACCGAATTTACTATTAAACGTCAATATTTCAGGCTTTAAAAAACTCTCAACAATTGCCAAAGCGAAGTTTCTACGATATATTTTTATTTTTAGCAAATCAGTTACATTGTCAATTAGGTTGATATTCGTGAAATTTCCTTACTTTTTCTGATGGAAAAAAACAGAGAACAGTTAAATTTAGGTTTCTCATTGCATAATAATCGCGGTCGAATTCACAGTTCAACGTCAATATTTCGTCTCAAAAACTATCCAAATCGTTCACACAACCGCTAAAGTGAAGTTTTATGGACGTATTTGAATTTTGAACAAAACATTTTTATTGCCATTGAGGCTGATATTCGTGAAATCTCACTGTCTTCCCCGGCGAAAGAAGACTGAAAGAATAACAAACGCCGAATTATATTGAAATGTTCAGTCGCACGATATAAATTACGATCGGGGTTTGCCGTTAAACGCGCTCGACAGATGACCGGTTTTAATCGAAGAACAATTCCGCGTCGACTATTTATTATTATTATAAAGCGCGTCGGGCAGAAATCGATTCTACTGAAAATTTTCAATCGAACGTCACCGTGGAAACCCGAGATCTGCCATTATCGTGACACGAAACTGGGCCGGATGAAGCTTTAACACCTAGTTACGCTACACGACCGATCAAATTGTGATTTCCATCAATCAGTGACTATTTATTGGCGAAATCAGCGTCGCGGGCAACGTCCGCTATCTCGAATTCGGAGCTTCCAATTAAATATCGCCACCGGCGAGGATCGCCGAGGTGCGACAGTTGATCTTTCCATCTTCCGGCCAGCGTCTCCGTGGACGTGTCACTCGCACGAGATCACACACAGCAGGTGAACGCGCGCAGGCCGGCGTCATCGATCTGCCGATCGTGTAACCGGGCGGGAATCGATAACTAATACGCGAAGCCCGCCACCGGATGTCGCCTTGTTGATAAAGGACCGCCCTACGAACGCCGGCGGCATCAAGGACGCCGCAGGAGGGCCGTAGGGCACGCCGGCTACCGGCACATAATTGATTGGCATTAGCGCGCCTGATTGCCGGTCGCCCTCCTCCAAAATCGTCCCGTGGGCTGCTTAAATACTGGCCGACGTCTCTCTGAGCCAGACGGCACGTATTTGAGCGGTCGCGACAGTAATCAGGCAATATGGTGCGCTCGCGAGATCCAAGGAAGCTCGATCGACGAGGGTTAGATCCGGGCTCGTCCGCTTTCCTATAACGTCGACATTGAATAATCCAATACCTGCGGGCCGGTCTATTGTCACACAGGACGTCTAACGCCCTCGCTTCCTCTCGCGCACACGTTGCTGGATATAAACTGAACCGTAAGATCTAACGATGTGTGTATATCTCGTACGCGGAGCCGAGGTCGGAAAAACGGGAAAATCAGAATTGACGTGTGCACACCGCAGCGTGTGTGCTCCCGCTGGGAAACGATCGACACCCGGTAAAACGTGGCCGCGCTCCTACGGGCGCTCCTTATCGATTGTCGAGAAAAAAAAATCGTTTTCAGCCACACCGATGGGACGGAACGAATAAATCGATAAACAAGATGAAAGAACCGCATCTGACGTAGATAAAGTTGCCCAGCGTAACTTTGAGAACAAGGCGGCAAATAGATTATCAATTGTAACGAGCTTAAAACTGTTAAACAAGAAGCTTCTTTGCTGGAAAAATTTCATTAAATGTGAATTGAATTGGAAAATTGTTATTCTCCGCCGAAACGGTGTGGGGAATTTTTCACCGGTGACTCAAACTGTTCAAGTACTCTGATACGATTATTGCGTGAACATTCAATCCTATTACACGGCAACGTTAATCCGGTTTAGTAACAATCGTAATTAGTGAGCTCTTGCATTTAATTGGAGCATATTTTTTAGATAGAAAAGGATATACCAATCGAATGCGAGAGTTCACTAACTACGATTGTCACAACCGGATTGCCGTGCAAATGTAATCTTGTTAAGATTAATATAAATACGATTAAATTAATAGAAATACTACCAAATGCCATATTGAGCCGGCGAACAGATCAATAAGAGAACCGCACCTGATGTAAATAAAATTGTCCGGCGTAACGTGCAACTTTGAGAACGAGGTGACAAATGGGATCGCGAGGTCCACATAAAGCGTAGATTATCAACTAAAACAAAGACTGTTAAATAGGAAGCTTGTTTGGTAGGGAAATTTTATCAAGTGTTTGCTGAATTTGAAACGTATTATTCTCCTCCGAAACGGCGTGAGGAATGTCTCATTAGCGACTCTAAATGTTCAAGTATCCTGACATGATTATCGCATGAACATTGTTAGCGTGAGATTAAGATGAACACGATTGAGGCTGCCGCATTGAGCTTGCGTAGCATCACACCCATGAGATGTCGAGCAGTTTCGGCTGAATGCTATGGTCAGACATAGAATTCCTCCGGTGGATGGTTCGGAAACTTCTCTCACCTGAAGACAATGTCTCCTCGCGAGCCAGCCGATATGCTGAAGCTGCTGCGGATCCGGAAGTGCTGAGGCCAGTCGTAACGCTTTCAAGGTGAGGGCTGCCAGCGCCGAGTGCAAAGCATTGAACCAGACATTCGCTTCTGTGTTGTCAGTGGTTCTCAGCCAACACTCGTGGACGCCGTCGGGCGAGTGTAGCTCCAGGATGCGTCCTTCTGCGGCAAAAAAATCGAAGGAGAATATAAAGACGACGTTCGACGAGACGAAGGCGGAGAGGAAGAAAGGACCGTTACAATTATCGTTTCTTAAAATCTCCGCGGATTCAATAGAGCGAACTGTCACGCCTCGATATACCTCCATTTCCGAAGGCGAATAATCGGCCGTAATCACCGCGATAACAACGCAAATATCTTTGCTGGAACCGTTTCTCGCGTTGCGCTATTTTCCATTGGCTTGGAAAATTGCCAGTTCGTTAACGTACGGGCGAAAAAACGTTCCCGCTCGTAATATGGTTCAATACCGTCGATCGCGCAGTCTTAAACGCTTCACCCTTCCGGAGCATACGGAAAATACCGACGTGATCTCATCCGCTCTTAAAAGTCGACGGAATTTGACAATCTTATCTTACGCCGAGAGAGCTATTACTGGAACATTTTCCCTCCATTTCTCTTTTTTTTCTTTCGTAACAAGAGAGGGTAGGTTCCGGCAATCACGTAACGAGAGGGCGGACGACAGCGCCTGGATTGAACTCGCCAGGTATCGTTCTTGATAGCTCATAAACCTTTCCCTGCGTTAACGTGAAAACTTTAATTCGCCTGACGTAAATCGCGCGGGATCGGTCACGAAGGTCCGGAATAAGTTTATAATCGTGGTATCGCGGGTTCTGGAGATTGTTTCACTCCTCGACATCCCACACAATTCGTCGGCGTGTACCACGCGCCCGGAGAACCTCGCAATTTCCTGTCTGGCCAGGCATACGAGATTTATTATGCTAATGGTAGACCTGTTTTCCAGCGCCAATAATTGGGCGATTGCAATTACAGCGTACTATCGATCCGCCATGTATATCGTGAGCATAACTTTTAGCGTATTGGCCCGATCAATTCGGGGCAATTGCTACCATATTTTAGTCACCAGGAAAGAAAAAATGATTAAGAATGTTTAAGCAATTTCCCACGTCACCAGGCGATAGAGGCGTTTTTGAAGAAGTAATCTTTCCGATCGTATCGAGCGAGATAAAGGTCGGTATCTTAATTGCCCATAGAGAATGTAAATTACGGCAATTTCCATATTCCATATAACATGTTGTAACGTTCCGATAAATTTGCTTCGTACTCCGTGCGGAAAGAGCAAAAGCCGGGCATTCGCGAGCCGACGCTGTTGCCATTTCCTCTCTCGCCCAGTGAGCTTAGATTCGCGTCAAATTCATCGGCATTTCGTACGGAAAGCATGCCCCAACGTGCTCTCGCTTCTTTTTTAGCCGATTCCATGTACGCATTCTAATCGCTCTCTATCGAGAACCCGTGCGGAAAGTTCCGGAAGCAGCAAACTCGCCTACGTGCGCGGAAAGGCGCGCGGCGGCCGTAAGAAAATATTGAATTTCCGATCAAAAGGAAATTACGCTCGAGTTAAAAGCCCCTTTATGTCATTCCCGTCTACCCGGCCTTTTCTGCCTAAAAAGAGGTGAACGAGACAAACACTGTTCCTGCAGGAAAGGGGACAGAAACATCGCTGGAAACGAAACGTGATGTCAAAATGATAGGATCACGTGATCGATGCTCTCTCTCTCTCTCTCTCTCTCTCTCTCTCTCTCTCTCTCTCTCTCTCTCTCTCTCTCTCTCTCTNCTCTCTCTCTCTCTCTCTCTCTCTCTCTCTCTCTCTCTTTCCCCCTCGTCTTTTATTGCGTGGAGGAATTTAATCGATCGCGTGTGCTCCGTTCAATTCTATAACGGTCAAGCGGAAAACAGCTCGCGAATTATAACTCTCTTTCCGAGAGAGCGATATCGAATTATGCAATTTCGCATTGGCGGTCAATCGTTTGCAACAATGTGTTCTCAATACGACGCCTAACCTTAAGGCGCGATTAACATTCTCGAAGTGCTCCTGAAACGTGTCTCACCTTCTGCGCGAATATTTCAACGCGGACGAAAATTAACTCGTTCCTCCCGGTTAGCGATCGCAGGACGTGACTCCGCGCGTTTTTCGCGCATTACCGCGCGCGACGATTTTCTCGCGGTTTTCCGGCTTTCGTTGCGTGCCTTCTCGCCGAAATGCACACTCTCGAAAGATCCGTGGAAAAATCGCTTGATTTGCAGCAACGGGCACCGCCGGTTAGAAGCGCAAAGGAGAGGAGTACGTAGAATGCGGGGAAGGAAGGATACAATTGTAGCAATGAAAGCTTTGTGCTCGCGGATATATTCCCGTCTGGAAATGATTCCGGCGCTATTCGGCCGCTATTTTCTTTAAAATTCCATCGAGGAATTGAGGAGAAATAATGCCGAATATTACGAAAGGACGCGACGCGATGCAAGAAAATGCATCCTTTGTATTGAATCGTCACTCCCCACTCGCATTTCCATATTTATCGATTCCCTCGGCTCTCCCTTCTCCGTTTCGAAATTTTTCGGACTTCCTCGCCCGAGCTCTCACGGAAGTGCTCTAACGTTGCACGAGCACGTTCTCACCCACCCGCACACCCCGCGAGGCCCGCGAAAAGGTCTCGGTTCTCAAGACGAGCCCTGCTTTTCATCGGCGAAAGTAAAATCGCCCGGATCCGCGAAAAATCTTCGAAGGTCTGATTCGTTCTAAAGAGCGGAAGGGCGAGGGTGGCGTTTAGGCAATAAAGAGCCGAAACGACAAAGGCAGCGAAAGGACGAAGAGGCGAGGCAGACGCGCACAGTTCCGCGCGACGGTGGCTCAAAGGAAATCGAAATGCGTTCGCGTCATTTCGTTACCTCGCTTTCCATCCTTTCCCATTTTTACCCCTCCCCCCTTTCCCGCGTTTTTCCCCTTAAGAGCGCGATTTCCCTTGAATGTAATTTTCCGGGCATCCGATCGACCGGATTTCGCTTTCGTTTCTTGTTTTGCGCTTCGTCTGCTTCCGCGAGTTTTCCTCCGGTTTGCTCGTCAAGACGCGCGAGCGAAGACCAGGACGAGAACGGAAGCGATTCTGAGGGAGGACTTCTGTTTTATCATCTCCACATAAATATAGAGCACACGGGTTTGCGTTCGCGTGCGCCGAAATTCATTTCTATCGAATGGACGCTTCTCTTACAAACTTCAAAAGTAAGAAATAAACGAACAATTTGTGCAGATAAAGATATCACCTAAAAATCGGTAAAATCACTTGCATAGATAGGAGAGATAAACCGCCTGAAAGTCGGATAAAAGTGTCATCTAAAAATCGTAATTTTTTGTGCCCAACCGACATAGAAGAAATCTTCGTATTCTCTCAAATGTCATGTTAAGTCTCTGATACATTAAGTTACCATGAAATTCGCGGAATGTGGGAGATGTGCGCGAAGGTAATACGCAGACGATAATCCACGTTGATCCAATGTTTTATTATCGTTCATTCGATTTCATGCGGCGTTAATAACCGTGGCGCAGCACATAACGTCATAACGTCATCACGTGATACGAAGTAATATGCGCGACCGTGCCCAGTTACATTCTATAACGTTCAATCAACGGAATCCTACGTACTTATTAACGGCATTATCGCGGAATGGCGCGTTCCTATTAATTATATTATCGCACCAAATAATTATCGACGTAATCGTCGAGTGCGCGCGCGCCATAACACCCATAATGTTACGGACTCCTATCACACATTGTCAATCATTCTATTTATCTATCGTATCTGCGTGCATACAATATCGATCCTGCGAGAACGCTCATTATCTTACGTGCCAAAACGTGGATGAAAGTCGAACTAAATCCGCTCTCCCGATGATTATCGCAAATTGAATCACTCATATCGAAGCATAAAGAGAGAGAGAGAGAGAGAGAGAGAGAGATAAAAAATCACAATTCAAATCTCTTCTAACGGGGGCTTAATTCTCCTTCACCTCGATTTTAACGTCCCCGTATTCTTTGTTTTAACGCACATCCGTCATCAAAAATTCAGCCGGGCCCCAGACAAGTCTACGGAGACACGGTTCCGCTTGCTTCAGCTCCCCGGTGGAGGAACTTCGATTCTCCCTGGAAAGAAAAGGATATCCATCGCTTTAAAGTTTGATGGGACATCCGGGAGTGGGTAGGACGCCGCCAACGTCACCGACAACGACGAAGGCGCGCTGCAGCAGACTGTTCCGGAGCTCTCTTTATGTGCGCTTAATGCATTTTTGAAGGTTGGAATATCATAAAGACGAGCCTGTAATAAACTGTGCGACGGTGGCGGCTTTGGCGTAAACTCAGCCGGCGATAACCATCCTGCCTCATCCGGCAGGTCCGCTTCTTCAGCGTCTCGCGTGCTTCTGCGTCTACATACCGGAGATGGGTGAGAGAGAGAGTAGGAGAGGAGGGGGAGAGGAAAGGAGGTGTTCCGAAGACAAGGGGATGGCTGTAGGGGAGGGTGACTGCTGGCTGCTGGTTATAAAGGAGAGTATCCAGAAGGGGATTTTCAAGAGGACGAGCGAGATGTTAACAGCCAGACAGCATTGTCGTCGAGCCACACCCGCGTTTTCTAATCAGAGGTGCTCATTCTGCCGTGAATCCTCCCGGTTTATCCCCCATGACGCTCGGGAATGAGTAATCAAAGATATTAAAATGCTCCGTGCGCGCTCTCTGTCTGTTATCCCTTCGAAAAGAAAAAAGAAATTGAAATGCACGTACGAGTAGCGCGGGTTTAACGCGACAACCGGTATTACGATGCCGCGTAGCCGGCGGTTTTGTGTATTTTGTAATAATTTACACACTCCGTTTCTCCCACGACTGTTGTCGAGAATTGGTTTCGCTTAGCTCGAACTTCGCATCTTTCCCCGGACTTTCGATCTAACTGAAGTTTGAAATTTTTTCCGATAATCTTCTCGTTATGGTTGAGCCTCATGACGGGTACGCGCTAAATCGTTCCGTTAACCGTGTCGTAAAAGGAGACCGTGATTCTATCTTTACATAACAGACGATGAAACACCATAATAATGAGCGATCTTCAGGTTGCTGAAAATGATGAGGATGAAATCTCCCTGGGAGAATTCTGCTTCCTTCCGATCAA